CCGCCCCCAGCCCCCCAACTTCCAGCACCCCCCCCCCAAAAAAAAACTACCCCCCCCCAAGGCAAAGATGCTCCAGGCGAGGGGAGGAGGTGGGTGCTTGCTTTTTCTTTGCTCCCCCCCTAAAATCCCCACACGTCCCCCGATTCCCAAAGCCACAGGTGCTTTGAGCATCCCCCGAGAGAGAGGATGGACCCCGAAAGGGGAGCGGGGGGGTGTCCCCCCACCGAGGGACCAGAGGAGGAAGGGGAGGGGGGTGTGTGGGGACAATCCTCCCCTCTCGCCACCCCCGGGTCTCGCCTTACCTGCCCGTTCCCGGTGGCTGTCGATCCCGGTGGCCGGTGCCGCCGCTCCGGGCGAGCCCGTTGCCCGCAAAAGCTTCGCCTCCCCCCGGCCAAGCGCCGCCCCGACGGGGCGGGCAACGGCCGCCGCCTCCGCCGCGCCTGCGCTGGGACCGCACCGGGATCGGGAACAGCCACCGGGATCGGGAACAAGCCACCGGGATTGGGAACAGCCACCGGGAATCAATGCTCCTCACCGCGGGGAACTGGGAAGGAATTGGGGAGGTGGAGGGGTGTCACTGGAAACCGGGATTGGCACCGTGGCGGGGGGGTGGCGCTGGTCCCAGGACCCCCGACCCGGGATTGGGGACCGGTCTGGAAAACTGGGAATTTCCCGCTGGGAATGGGGATTTAGGATCGGCGTCGTTCGAGTCGCAGGATCTGTAGGATCGGCGTCGCTCGAGTCGCAGGATATGGGATCATCTGGGAAATGGGGCCATCAGCGGGAAATGGGGGGTTGGGGGGGGGCGGGACCACCCAGATGGGGAACTGAAGATGCCCAGACACCAGTACCACCAGCTGGGTGTAATTGGGACCAGTGACTGGATCACCTGGGCGCTGGTGGCAGCCACCGGCACCTCTCAAGCACTGGCACTGGGACCAGTATTACGCTGGCGATGGGATACTGGGACAAGGTCCTACTCGCTCTGCCTGGGCACCAGGATGGAGAACTGGGAGAACTGGAGCACCACACACCACCAAGCAGCACCTCCAGGGCCACCAAGGCACTGGGCAGTTGGGGTGCGTTAGGACATCACCCATGGAGGTTTGCAGGGAAGAGTCACCAGGAGTGGCAGGATCTGGGTACAAAAGGGGACATCCCCCAGTGGGGAATGATGCTGGTGTTGAAGGAAACGTGTTTTCCAACCCAAAACTGAAGTTATTCCCTGGTTTTGTTTTGCAAGAGGGAAACTGAGGCACTGGGGAGGGAGTTGAAAGGCTGGGAAGGTCCTTGGCCTCCCTGCCCATCCATGGAGGTGGACATGCAATGGGTGATGGGGCCAAGGTGGCCAGTCCAGCCATGCTCCCATGGTGGAAAACGTACATTCCCAGCCCATAAATATCCATCTAAGAGGGGTAAAAATTAATATGAGCCACCCAAAAATAAATATGAGCCACCCAAAAGTGCATCCCCCACGGCAGGGGAGGAGCTGGTGGGCTTTTACAGACCCTGCACCACAGGCAGCTCTGACCTGATGCTCCAATTGACCCACAGCATCAACTGGCAGCGTAAGTTTGATCAGGGATTATCATAAATTAGACTGAAAAGAGATGGCAAAGGGAGAACAATTAAAGAAAACGGTGGGAAATGACGGGGATAAACTTTTCACATTCAAAATGATGAGCAATCAGACTTTTAGACAAGAAAGGAACCCAAGGCCAAGGGTTGGCCGCTGCCTGGCTGCGACGGAGGGAAAGCTTAAGGACATCTGCTTGCCACGTTGGTGGTAATGCAGTCAAATTTTGGTGATAAAATTAGAAAGGAGGCCATGCCCGGAGCAGCGTTGACCTGGCACGAGCTCCTGGTCCCACCGAGGTGTCACCTGCAGCTGTACAGGGTCACCAGGGATCACGCAGACGATCCATCTCCTCCAGGACCTACAGCCATGTCCTCCAGTCTCTTATTATCTGAGACCCTCCTGGATTTTGCATATTGAGGTTCTGGGCGTTTTATTGTTAATTTTATGTTCGTTTCATTGCTTATTCAATTCATGCAGTATTTGTGCTACGATTATTTTAATTCACCTATTAGTTGAGGGACTAGAAAAGCCAAAAATCTATAGTTCCACAAATGCTTTCTTTGGCAGCAAAAGCCATTTTCTAATGTTTTCCTTCTCTTTCCTTCTTTTCCCCTCTCTCCCCCCCGGATCTGGGGGAAGCTGGGATCGGGTTGTGCTCGAAACCAGGTCAGTGCAAGGGGCCCGTTTCACACACCCCTTTTCTCCCCCCTCATCATAAATCACCAAGAAAAAAAAAAAACAACCCTAAAACCCCCATATTTAGGACCCCTAATTAGGGCCAGAACCTGGAGTGTGGTGCTGGACCATCACCCCAACTGTGGTGAGAAACTCCAGCAGCAAATGGCAAAGACCAGCAAAAAAAAAAAAAGGGGGGGGAAGACAAAGCCTCAGTTTCTGGATGTTTGTAAAGGGGAAGAGTTAATAGACTAGAATAGAATTGTAGAATCATCTAGGTTGGAAGAGACCCTTGGGATCATCGAGTCCAACCATCTACCCTACTCTACAAGGTCATCCCCTACACCATGTCCCTTAGCACTGCAAGGGTCCTACAAAGGTCACCAACCCCAAGCCCAAAATCATCAGTAATGGCCCTAAAACAAGCTAGATGGGATGGGATGGGATAGAATCATAGAATGGTTTGGTTTGGAAGGGACCTCAAAGATCATGGAGTTCCAACCCCCTGCCCTGGGCAGGGACACCTCCCACCAGACCAGGTTGCTCAAGACCCCATCCAGCCTGGCCTTGAACCCCTCCAGGGATGGGGCAGCCACAGCTTCTCTGGGCAACCTGGGCCAGGGTCTCACCACCCTCTGGGATGGGATGGGATGGGATGGGATGGGATGGGATGGGATGGGATGGGATGGGATGGGATGGATGCTGCTGCTGCTGCTCCCTGGGAGCACAGAGCCCCTTTTGATTTCTGATCTGTTTAAATGGGGAGACATTCCATCGCTGTTAATTAATTAATATCATCATCCCTCATTTCCTCCCCCCACCCAGTACAGACACCTCCTGCCCAGTTACCCGCTGTGGGTTTGCTTTAAATAGGTAAATTCCTATCGCGTGGTTTTTACCTATTTGAGCCCAAAGCTGCTAAGGGGGAGCATCTCACTGCTGGGGACGTGGAGGGGGCAGTTTTTCCTCCATGGGGGTGACGCTGTGATGGGGATGAAGGGATGAAAAAGAGGAAGGAAAAACGAAAAAAAAAAAAAAAAAAAAAAAAGAGAAAATGGGCTCCCCCTTGGGACGAATCAGCAGCAGGAACCTGT